ATCTTTACTTAACATGATAACAACGCCCTTGGTACGGTGATTGACTGACCGAAATAAACACTTACATAGATAAGTCTTTGCTTCGTTATTTTTATCAACTTGTGGATATTATCTCGTTGTAAATCATTATTGTCATTGTGAATTTCGAACAGGCTACGGCTGCTAAATATCCCATTTATTGATTTAATATTAATTAACTAGAAGTCACACCCCTTTAATGCTATCAATGTATTTGGTAATAAGATACGTGCCAATAGATATATATATTTTTAAATAACGTTTCCCCACACTAAGATTTTTTCCTGTGTCGTAGGTGCGTTTACAAACATACAAGTTCATATACACATGACATCCAGACCCGGAACAACAATCTGTGGATCACACAAAGCGTTGTTCGGTGCGGGAATCGAACCCGCGACACGTTGCGCGGCAGCCAGTTGCCCAACCACCGCGCCAACCATGCAGTCATGTTGACATTATATTGCTCCATTTTATATAACGGTGTGACAAACGGCCTTCAAAGACAAGGCGAGACAAGCGAGGATTTTAAAGAATATATTTTTTAAATATTCAGTTGTTTTGTTAATTAGTATAAATACATACATAATATAAAAAATTAAGTAATCTTCTTGTACTGACTTTGTCACATAATTCTCATAATACCAATTGAAAATAATAATCCTTAATATTGAAATACCTACTTATGTAATAAAAACAAAAACAACGAATACGTAATTAAAACTCCTTTTTACTTGATTTCTGAATACAGACTTACTCATTGACATAGCGGTAATAATAAAAGACATATTATTAATACTCTAGGTATACACACAGACGTCAATATCAAAAATAATATCATACAAGTTATTTTCCTCGACGTAGATTATGAATATATTAATTCGTATTGGGTTTTTATGATGTCATGAATGTATTTAATACGTCTTATTATTTTTTTGTTTAAAGTAACGTAAACGATAAACAAGCTGGTTTATCTGTAGAGAAGGTATTAAAATTGATCGATTCGATTTATTGTTCTCAAGTTCAAATAATTTCTAGTTTTGCATAAATAACTAGGTACATTTTTAAGACTTTCATAGTTACTAAAGTAATCAAAATAATTCATATTTTAGAATTAATTCAAGTTATACCTATATTAAAGGATATATATTAATTAAGAAGAAATGTTGATGATACTTATGATCTACCTAAACAAAAATAATTAAGCATAGGGCATTCCGTAATAAAGATAATTAATAACATTTAAGTTAGATGTCTTTCAAATTAAAACTGGGATATAAGATTTAAATATTTTTTTTGCGTTCATCGTGTCAGTTGCAACTTGCATTAGTCATCCTTATGGGCTCCTGGCATGGCCTAAAAGCAGTCGTGTAAACTCGTCGAAAAGTAACGTGAATAACAGTCTAACTCAGTAATAGTGTCGGTTATAACGAACGAACAATGTGGCAATAATAATGCGATTAATTTATGAGAACCTAGACCGCAATTTTCGTCACAAATCCTTGAGTCATGTTTATCAAAATACAACACACAAAATTAAATATAGGTATATTTAGACGTTTATTGTATCCTAGCTTAAGTGAAACTATTAACTAATTCATTTAATGAAGAGTACTAAGGGCCAAATAAAGCAGTTCTAAATAAGTTCTACCCGCGCCTTTGCCCGCGTCCCCGTGCGATAAAAAGTAGCCTATGTGTTAATTCAGACCATTATCTACCGCTATTCCGAATTTCATTTCGATCCCTTCAGTCGTTTTGACGTGAAGGAGTAACAAACATACAACTGGTGTTGCGGGTGTCCATGGGCGGCCAAAAACACACATACACAGAAACTTTCGCATTTAAGTATAATATTAGTAAGTTGTTACAACAGGATGTCGTGGTGGCCCGGAGGTTGAAGACGCCTGTTTCTCATGGGTTCGAAACCTACCAACGGCAAGTACCAATGTGACTTTTTCCGAGTTATATGTACTTTCTAAGATTATTTAGACACCACTGACAAACGGTGAAGGAAAACATCGTGGGGAAACCTGGGTTTATAATTTCTAATTATAAGTTTGAAATCGCCAACCCGCATTGAGCAAGCGTGGTGATTAACTCGTCGAGTACCGGTTTTATAGACACAATTAAAGAACAATAGGTCGCGGTCACCGGTGACCGCTTGGTGTTTGACAGTTTAATGCTCTAACCTTCTTCGTGAGAGAAGAGGCTTTGCTCAGCAGTGGGCATTTATAAGCTGTTGATGATGATGATGATGTTACAACAGGTGAAATGCCCCCAAGGCCCCAAATTCTCCTTCACAACTATACTTAATACATTATACTAGGTGCGCAACCGAACCGAATTGAATTGAATAAAGTCGAAAAGATATTTTTTTAATTATTTTATTCTGATAAACACCATTCACCGAGTAAACAATAAAACAAAAATAACTTCTCACATTATAATTTCTGGGTTAACGATTATTTCATATATTTTTTATTACTATAATTTTAAAATTATTTTGTTGTAGTTAATTTATTACATCGGGCGGACGATCTTGGACATTATTACGTCACACACTTGTTATTAAAATCGCTACCGGTTACGTTTTAAGTACTTGCGTAGATACAAAGTAGTTTGTACTGAATCAACTTTATTATATTACCTACTAGCTTCTGCCCGCGACTTCGTACGCGCAATCACGATATTTCCCGGTCCATGATTTTCGGTAAAAAGTAAAAAAAAATATTGGGTAAAAAGTATCCTATGTCCGTCTCCTGGCTCTAAGCTACCTCCCTACCAATTTTCAGCCAAATCTGTTCTGCCGTTCTTGAGTTATAAGTGGTGTAACTATCACGACTTTCTTTTATATATATAGACTTAGTATTGATACCTTATTTTTAGAAGAAAAGGTTTTTACTATCTTCTTTTACAGCTACGGTATAGACAGTTCCATGTAGATATTCTTACTGTTGAAATAGTCGTAATTGACTATCTAATTTACCATTACATATAACTACACCAGGTCCACCATCATTTCGATTCAAATACTCTTAATAAAACTATCATAACAATTCAATAATTATTATATTAAGACGTGAGAAACTTAGAATGTTTGATTGATTGTTCGATTGTTTATTTGTTTATCTATATGATATCTTCATTCTCCGTGCTATTTTAAACTAATGACTAATAACTAAATTTTAAAATTTTAAACGATATAATAATTAGGTCCATATTTGTAGTAGATAACTAAATATTGTTTACTCATAGGTACTCCAAATTAATTTGTAGAAAACTTGGTCCTTACACACTCAAGAAAGTAGCTGCGCAGTTTTGACCAAAATAATACTCGAGAAAGTTCCTCTCCACTCAAGTATTGTTGCTCTTATGTCTGCCATCATGACATGAACGTAAGATTTTACAAACATAATAAGTACTCGCTACACGATATTACCTTATATTACGAATCGCATGTAATCAGTATTCATCATGATAACTTTGATACATTATGTATGTTCAAGTGGAGTCGAATTGAGAACCAAGAGGTTCCGTGCATGCTAAAACTGTTAGTTAAAACTGTATTGGCAGAAAAGGCGCAGTGGCGTAACTATATGGTGGCAAGGCGGCAAAATACCACGGCTTTCTGGAAGGGTTCCCTATTCAGAGGATTTCATCTGAACTCCTTCCTTTTTTATCGAGAACGGAGGCCCATCTGATGAATTTGCCACGGGCTTCGAACAGTATAGTTACGCCACTGTGAAGGCGTCAGAAATATTTAGTAAATTTATGCCTAAAGAATGTTATCATTATCTCTTGCTCTTTTTTTTTACGAGTCCACGCTTTAGAATCACTTTGTGGATCTTTGTACCCTCATGCAAAAGAAGTGGTGTTCGAAACTTGGCATTTGCCATCTACGTGTGTACGTTTTTCTATTTTTCTATGGCCAAAGGCACCGTGATTGTAGTTACAATTGGCCGTAGAAAAATTTAGGAACTCCTATAAGATGATAACATAGAATTATCGAATGCTGAAGAGAATGCCGTAAAGTCCTCTATTAGCGCTTAGACAAATAAGTAAATATATATTTTTAATAAACAATATGGACTTATGTGTGAAATAAGTAATAACAGAATATCTAAAAACGCGAGCAGAACCCAAAAAAAATCTCTAAAATTATCAACGATCTTGGACTCATAACACAACGCGATTTACATTACATAATACACTCATTAACTTAACAACGTCGATTTTTAATTCAGTAGTTGAGCAAAGCAAGATAAATATTAATAAACATTGTATAATAAGAAAAAACTCGTTGAAGATAACACATTAATTAAATAAAGTGATAATGCCGTAGGAAGATGTAATTATGCCTTGTTTTATGTTATCTGTGGCACTAAAATGACAGATGTCAGATAGAATATATGTTATGATTATGACATAAGCAAAATACAACCAAGGCCGATTATGTGGATAACATATGTTAGCCGCAGTGGTTAGATAATCAGAATAGTTGTGGAATAGTCGACGAATCGATAATTTGTTCTAGTTCTATTTATTTTTTGGATAAAAATATATTATCTATTACGGTATATGTTACGACAACGAAATGAAACAGTATTTATTGTGAGGCTGACTAGCACAAACTCCGAAGTCTGCTGTACCCATATTTATAAAAAGAACTCTTCTTTGTGCTTGATCAAAATAAGCCAAAAAAGTCTATTTGTTTAGATAGGTAACGCTTTAAGTACACTGATACAGTACTTAGCAATCAAGTACCTTATCTAGTATTCCGTATCTGATATCTGTTCAAATTAATATTGTGAAGAATGTCTTCAGAGACACTTCCTACCACTTTTTTTGCCTTAGTCCATCCCTTATCATGGCGCTCGTAAAAGTACCAAAGTAGGGACAGAAAACTCAAAGTGGACACGATACTTTTATAAAAATTATGTTATTAACTAGTCCTAAAAACTTTTTTTTTCAGAAATACCAACCTGTGCATGTCTCAGCTGATTGACGAGTGTGGAGCACCTCTCCGGGTCTTTTCGGCCATCAAACGAGTCCAATTCTGCCGCGACCATGTTGAGTGCGTCATCGGCGAAGAAGAACTGCGCTAAAAGCGACCGGTCGTCCCTCTAGAACAAAACAAAAACATTTTATAAGTTTAAAAAAGTAATATAATAGTTACTCTAATTTTTTGCAATCTTTGCACGATAACTAATTAGTTATGGCAAGTCAAGGGCAAACATTTTTGATCGACCTCACCACTACCAGTTGTCCAGTTCCCAACTTGAATAGGGAAAAAACGAGCAAACAGTATCACCTGATGGTAAGCGATTAGTAGTTACCACCTATGGACAAAAGGAATAAGGAAGAAAGAGCAATATTAACTAACTACAACGGCTGCAAAACCCACAGCAAAATAAAATCTTTGTGTAGGGCAACGTTTTATAAAGTCAGTCACATAATTAAAATCAGGTACATACTGCAGATGATATAAAGGTTCTATAAAAAGACAACATTACATAACATTTAGGAAAAAATATCGTAACATAATATTAACAATAGACACATAAATAATCTACGGTTCGCATCACATCACATCATTAAAACTTCATTGATGTAAACAAACATGATAACTAACTTCAGTGTATTGACAACTAACAACAATGTAGAGTTATAAATGAATGAGTTGACAGGTAAATTACGGTCTTAGGAACCAGGTGTTTATGTTACACTGACATTGTGTTGAACTCACCAGTCATGGTGGTTTAATAGCTTAAAATAAACTTGTATAAATATGGGCAACGTTTTTAGAACTAAACTAGAGTCGTTTTGTTTCCGTTGCAATGTTATACCTACTGAAGGGCTCGTACACAAAATTGCGATGCGACATCGCATCGTAAAAATGTGCGAGGTGCGAGAAATAACTTGCGAATTGATTCGCATCGCGCATCAAAATCTTATCTTTCCAAAATCTTCTTTGTTTATTTTTTCTGTATCTCCTAAGCAATAACAGAAGTGCACACTTCTTTTTACGATCCATGTCACGACCTAGTTTTCAATTTAAAATACGTTAAGTGCGGTTGACGGTCGTCGAAGGAATGGTCACCCTGGGAGACGCCTTGTCGTACGAAATCGCATCGCAGCAATTTGCATCGTATTTTTTTGCGTGGCGAGTTCGCATTGTATCGCATCGCAATTTTGTGTACGAGCCCTAAATGCGAGTTACTGCGTCAAGCGCGTGTGATAGGTGCCATAGTTTCGCTTGCATTAAATTAAAGAGTAGTTAACTATTTTCATAAATATTAAAATTGTCGATCTCAGATAAGATTGGCAAAGTGTTAATAGGTAATTATTATTTTAACGCAAGGGGTGGTTAAGTTAAAATAGGCATAGACATTTCGTTAAACATAATTACAGTAAAACATGTATATAAAGCACTAAAAATCAGTATTCGACCCCATGGCTAATGGGTGCAAAGACCTCAGAAAAAGGCCGTAACAACATAAATAAATAAACGCAACCCCACTATTTTCGGCACATTCGATCCTCGATAAAGGTAAAAATGAAAATAAAAATAACACCATTTATATGAAACCAGTAATATTAAAAACTTGAAAACGAGGACAGGCCTTCGGCAGGACAGACCTAGGACATTAATTTGCACTTTAGTGCAAAACAAGTTTTATTTTGAATAAATAAATATGCCGTTTCCGATTTTTTTACTTATTCTATCGCGCGGATGGCGCTACTGTCGAATTTAGGCCTGTAGGAGAGTATATAATTGGTACTTTGACACAAATAGTTAGTTAGTTGATACAAATTACAAATAGACTTAGTCATGTAGGTATATTGCATATTTAAAATTGAAAGTCTACTTATGTTATCTGTGTCTTAGCTTACTGAACTACTAAACCCATTACATTGTCGAAACGTGGCACTGAGAGGGATTTCTAAATATTTATGCATTTTTTTAATATCAATATATTAATTTAATCTGATAGCTTATTGTGAATATTCATTTGTGTAAATTCAAAGGTCATGAAGATACGTTTACACATTTTACAACACTGCCTGAAGGGATAAAAATTTTCAGCTGAATATAAAGTCAACTAAATTATTGTAAAAACGAAATCCCAAAATAAATTAATGCAATATTTTAATAGATACTTATTTCTAATCACCTAAAACTGCCGTTACCACGTAACTTAGCAGAATAATTATATCATAAATTCATAATTATGAGACCATCTTATCAATTAAGTAGTTTTTGTTGCATAGCGTGAGTAAATTACGAGGTATTTCAAAAGTCAAGTTACTCAACCACTTTTTCTTATAAAATGTAGTTTTTCAATCAATTTCAAATGAAAAGAAGAAATAGGTAACGCTAAAATTATGTATAAACTTACTGCAAAAAGCTTATGGTATAACCTAATAAATCTAACAATAAGGACCGATTTTTCAATTATCAGTTACCTATTTGTTAACTGAAGAATAAAATCGACATCTGACAGTTTTGTAACTATTGAAGAATTGTCAAATATTCAAAGTTATTCAGTGAAAATTTATCTGGAAAATCGGTACTAAATAATTAAGTTGCCTAAAGTAAGCCGTACAATGATTCTTTAACTAGTTTAGGGAAGGAGTTGTAGGTTTAGGGAAGACTTTAGGTAGGCTAAAAAAATAGTTTTCTGCATGATTGGCAACGTACTTGTAATGCCTGTCTGGTAGAGCTCAATAAATCAGGTAGCCAGTGGGTTTTGTTCAGCAACTGATAGTAACTAGGTACTAAACTAGGTAGGTACCTAGTATAAATAAAAAATCCTGAGTAATAGCACCCATAGACTGACTTTTGTATGATAACAATGTTTTATAAATAAACTTAAAGCAACTAAGAATTAAGTGAATGGCATGAGATCAAGGTGACAGACGTCACACTAAGTTGAGGTGTCGCCTCCGTCACTTTCATCAACTTTATGTAATCCAACTCGTGCCAATTCCAACCTTAACCTCTAACACTACAGTTCAAAATTATACCAGCACTAATATTTCGCATTTATGATGTTACACGTAAATGCAAATTATATGGACAAACAAAAACTGTGCAAATAAACAAGTTTCTGTTATTTTTTAAAGGTTTGTTGATGCAACGTTTTATTTTATTACGATAGAGTGAATAGATGTGCAATAAACCGATGTTATCTGATTACTCACACTAGTATTGCTGAATCGATAAAGACATTTTGATAATACAACGTCATATTTTGATGTATGAAATGACAATAATAGAATAGAAGAGAATAGAATAGTAATCTTTATTTCAGGCTCAGAGCTCATAAACGGTTAGTAACAATTTACTTATACAACTAGTGTTAGTAACACAAATTTGATCATCAATTACAATTCTTATATTACTATCCTGTACAGTTAAGTTCATTCACATTGCATGTGTATTTTTTGCTGACTACAATGTAACTAGAGTAGAGGACTGAGTTACAAGTCAGTTGATGGTGTACGCTTGCAAATATTTACATATCGTCAAGATTGTTTTGGCCAATTATTTAAGGTAGAATAGAAATAACTAACTATATCCGATACACCGTCTCAATCCGATCTTAAATCTGTAACACATTGTATTATCAGTTATCGAGAATCATTCGACAAGGGTTTCCCACTGGGTCAAGACGTTTGGACGTGAGCCAAGCGAACGACTCGAGAGAAAACAGAGGAGACGAAACAAAACCAAAGTGCACCAGTACACCTAACATTTCATCTTAAATTGAGCGAAAAATATATTTAATTGCACTCAATTATGTACGAATTAGAGCGAGTCGTCACAGAATCTGCGATTCAGTACAATGACTCATTACATATGTAAACATATGAATGTCGCAATCAGAATACGCGAGCCGGCTCGTTGGATCGCCATCTGTTGCCAGACAAGTTTTTGTTGTGTGAAATCTTTACAAATATGGCAACACGTTCGTAATTGAATGCCGAAAAAATATATTAACATGGGTAGTGTAGTCCATAGGAACATTTGACCACACCACAACTATTTGACAGGTTCTTGCTCAACTACAAATAGGTCATGGCGTATTGCGCTGTAAACAACATAAACAATTTTACTGTAACACCATTTTACTAAACAGTTTCCATTTTCCAATGTATTTAGTTACGGTTCACGTTATGAGAGTATTTGTTCTAGTGGACAAAACAATACAAAGTAGGTACAGCTAATTTTGTTGAACTTGGACGTTGTGCAACTGATGAAACAATTGACGGAACATTGCAAGTCTGCCTGGATAGACGGCATCGCAATTCCGGTATGCAGTTAAAGAATAACACCTTGAATCTCCCCGTCTGAGACGAAACAACTCTATAATAATTTGTCTCCATTAAACTCATTGCAATCTACCAATTTATGACGTAGTTGGGGTGCGCAAGTGGATGCGTGCAACTGATTTATAAATAAACATGTCTACAGACGTAACCGCAAGCTTGAAAAGATCCTATCGTCAAATTAATAATCTTTTAGTCATCTTGAACCAGTTCTTTGGAATAATTAGTAACCACATAATTAATTAGTTAAATTGTTCAGTACAACATAATTTGTAGTAATGTTCAGTAAACATTATCTCATTCAAAGCTCTCGCTCACCATTTCACAAATTCTTGTACGACCTTGATTCATACAAAAATTGTTACTTATTGATAAAAATTGGCATAATAATACAAACAATGGCAGTAAACGATACTTAATCTGATAAAAAGTGGGAAATTCACATCACAGAATTTACCCACAGGAAAGCAACACGATTTCCCAGGCAAACTAAATTATTATTATTATTGCAAACTACCGCGACACAACGCTTAAACATTTAGCTTTGAGGAAAACAACAGGGAAACCCGTATACGAGTAAATTATAAGGTAAAATAACAAACCACTGACATATGACGTAAAAAACGCCGGTGAAATAGCTAGCCGAGCTAAATTCCTTTAATGTTCTTTGAGTCCACGAGCTTCGTCAATTAGTGGAAGTCAGTCACAAAATCCTAAACAGTTCCACAAATCATGATTCCAAAATCTCAACCACGAAATCTAGTACAAACCCACGCCTCGTTATCTCCAT